AATCTCTAACGCTGGAAAGTCAAATTCTGTCTAACGCTCTGAATTAGTAGAAATTTGGGCAGCACTCCCTTTAGAAAGGGAGACTTCCCAGATTTCTACTAAGTCAGATACGAACTCGAACAACAGCTCGAGCTCAATTTTTAGACTGAATTTAACTAACTCCTTAATTTTGCAGAAATTTCGGCAGCACTCCCTCTAGAAAAGTGTTATTCCAAAATTTATACAAGGCTAAGTTCATAATTTTGAGAATAACTTTGACTTCTCAAAGTCCAATTTTGTCTAACTTCCTGAATTAGTAAAAATTTGGGCAGCACTCCCTCTAGAAAAGGAGACTTTCCAGATTTATACTAATCCATATATGGAAAAGACAAGCTGAACTCTGATAAGTCAAAAGTTGACTAACTTCTTGATTTGTAGAAATTTCGGCAGCGCTTCCCGTAGGAAAAGTAGCTTGCCAAGATTTATACAAAGCCAAGAATAAGAAAAGGTCTCAAAAAATGCAGGAATTGACCTAAGTAAAAAAAAAAAAAAAAACGTTATTACAGAAAAAACAGGAATTGACACTAACTCCTATGGCTCGCTCTAGCACGTGGCGAGCAACTACAGCAACTACCTATAGTAATGAAACTTAAACAAACTAGCCATCCCATTCAGTCACATGCAAACCAAACCACCAATGTAAGTACTCTCATCACCCCAAGTTTATTCCATATAGATAGTTCATGAATCTTCAAGTTYTTGATCCTTATACCCATCTTACGTAAGACATAGAGCTGGACCATTCGCCATGGAAACAATGCCCAGCTTGTCTTAATGATATACACGAACAGGTTGCATAACTACTTCTCTCTTCTTTTGGGCAGATGACTAGGCCATTCGCCACGGAAACAATGTCTAGCCGCCCTGAACTGTTTAATATCCAAGGATTTAGTATTTCTCTGACGTTGTTTTCAAAAAGAAAAAGCAAATATGGGCAGGGGGCTGAACCATTCACAGTAGAAACAATGTTCAGCTTGCCCAAACTATTTCCATTTATACTTTGTACTTCCCTTTTTCTCTTCTTAATGATATGGCTTAACGCTGGACCATTCCAAGTAGAAACAATKCCCAGTTGCCAGTTCACATGCAAATATACATAAAATACTTCCCCTTTTTACTCAGTTTAACTTATGTGTGTGGTTTTCAGGCTAAACCATTCACCATGGAAACAATGCTTAGCCTTAGACCAGAAATCCTCTCTCAGAATAAACAAGAACTTAAACTCCTTCAATCAGGCAAACCCCCAGAGTTAACTAGAGCAACCRGGYCATTCACCATGGWAACAATGCCTGGTTCCCCAGAAAACAACTAAATAAACACAGCAACCAGGCCATTCACCTTGGAAACAATGCCTGGTCCTTCAGAAAACAGTCAAATAAAACATAGCCCTGAGCCATTCACCATGGAAACAATGCTCAGGCTTTGGTTGACCCGGTTAAACGCATGCAGTCTACCTTCCTCCCATCTTCCCCCAGTTCATCCCTTCGTCTRCTTTCAATCAGGACGAAAATAGAAACTTAGGCTTCACTCTCACACATTCTTTCCAGTTAGTCTGATTAGTCCTGAAGAGAAAGCAAAAACCATAGGGACAAACGCATGCATACAACAATCATACTGCAGGGAGATAGGCAAACATGGGTAGTAGTGGGGTTTATACAGATAAAAATGATTTACCTGAAGGTTCCCTGCCTCCAGAACCCCGCCTAGGTTCCGGCAGGGCTCCCGCAATCGGTGGGTGGACTCCCCTCAGAGTCTTGACGCGGACCTACGGRTTGCAATCCCGCCTGCCGCCTTCCTCTCGTAATCAAGGACTASACTRAGAGAAAGAAGGGCAGAAAGGAGAAGGATTTTAGACTCTTAGATCCAAGAGAGGTGCGCTCAGACTCGCGGGAGAGGGCCTTGGTATCTTCAGCGCCTGAGGGCTCCGCAATGGCGGCCAAACACTCAGCGACTTGGTCAAACTCTGAGTCAAAACTGTTGAAGCCACCCCTCTSACAAACTCCCACTTCGTTGTGACGACTCCGCCCCCCTCCCAAAGACACAGCCACTCCGCAACTTCGTGACCTGAAATGCACAGACCAACTCAAGACGAYCTTCTTCCTACAGCATCACAGCGCAACAGCTCGGCCTGACTGAGGCCAAGTCACCAGCTGTCAGTTCCCTGATGACCTCTCAATCTGCAACAATGATCCTCTTATTGTCACTTAGTCACCCCCTCAGATCGCAGTCACTATGTGCCGCCGTCATGCTCAAGAAGGCCCACAATATCAGTCTGTTAGTACCGCGTGCCTACGAGCCGTGCGCAACAGCCTAACGAAAGTAATGCCGCCACAAGGTGAAGTAGCAGTGTACGATACTAGTCCCGACACACCACCACATCGTGCACAATGATGTACAGCGGCTTTCAACAGTTGCAACGGGCTGGAACAGTTAGCACGAGGGGCAGCAAGCGTCCTTACTCTTACTGTTCTGCCAAGACCCCCGATGTTGAGCTGCYCTTTGACTGCAGTTTCCACTTGTACAGGCTTGGTACACCACAACAGTCCAGGCCCGATTTACCTACAGTCTGCARCTCGTCTTYCAGTCTATCCTGAACTGTTAKCTTACTAGGTAAGAGTCTTCCTCCCTGTCTGTTCAYCATTTCTYATACCCGCTACKACCCCTGGCTCACAAGTGCATACGACTSCAGACTAAACYAGGTTCACCCGAAGTCCGGGTSACAAAACCCACGAATMAGGAGGGATCATGAGGAGTCCGMTGCAGCTTWAAGCCAATGCACAAAGCGCTGCCACCAACATCGACGGCTTGCATACTCCAGGTACGTTTTCTTCCCGTCRGCTTTCCCTATGTCATCCTTTCATTCTCGCTGTACTCAATCTCTTTCTTCTTCCGTTTCTATCAGTCCGTTCGAATCATAATYGGCCTCTCCGTTTTAAAGGGTGGAAGCACACTCTGCCCTCCAACTATATGCTCATAGAGGGGCGACTACTCTGTCAAAAGGGGTGAGCAAAAACCGAATGAACCTTCCACCAGAACGTGGAAAGATACATCGCCCCTCTTCTTGGGCGCAGCCTTTAGTCGTGCCCYTGCMCAAACAACTAATCCATKKGCAAGGCYGACATTGTCATCACGCTCGGATCGYCTGARCCCCCCAACATGACACTTTACTTCGTTCGTTTCTGCAAAGAATCGGGCGAAATAAYGAATTTCYCTCCCGCTATACCCGTTCTTCTCTCACACCTCCRCGCAGTCCTTTCTCTTTCTATCTTCTATTCTACTAACTATCTCCTAAAACTGACTCCATGATCCTACTCGCCCGGYCCCYRAACCCCGGTTTCGACCCTCGACTCAACGGAATCGGTCATGATATGACCGAGATAACAATTCTCTCTTTCTCTCACTCCTCCCTCCGCCATAGCTCATCGCACCGAGTTTCTTTACTAACTTCTACTTTACTAATTTYCGTCCTTTCCTGCCRACGGATTCGGGTTCGCGGGGTCTAAAAACCCCTGTCTAACACTTTGTCCCGCCCGRTTTCATTGAGAGACGGGCGGGCTACAGAGTTTTAACCCCGCCATAGCTCACCGTAGCTCTCCCCCCGCCTCGCACGCACSTGGACGTGGCYCCCGTGCGGGTTCGCTCAGCCCCCTTTTGCTACCTTGCCGTCCGTTCTTCCTGCGCTGTCGGTCCGTCCCCCGTTCRGCTCGCAATGCTCCGCCCTTCCGCTCGCCGCTGCGCAGCGCTGSCCGTTGCTCTATCTTTTACTCTCTATGCAGCGCYCGCTTCTCCTTTGCTGCACCYTGCCTRCCTCTCCRCCATCGCTCTTCCCAYCGTGAATGYACCTGGCAGGGCCCACGTCCAGGTTYWGCCACTCTTATTCGTCACCCCGCCAATCTCGTCTCCTTCGCCATGCSTACCTGCTATCTATCCTGTATGTAGTTAGCGCATCTGTCACAAAATTGTCTTCTAAMTCCCGCTACTCCTCTCATCCATCTACAGCCTCTGCYCCCTTAGCGCCCAGCATSMATCTCACGCTAGCTCGCTCACACTGGCCYACGGTATCTCCGCCCTCGCCGCGCACGCACCGGCTTCGGGTCCCGCCCCGATTCGACCCCACTGCGCTTCAGTCTCACAAGCGGGGAGCAGGACTACCCTTTTTGCCTCCGCTACCCAGTGGGGACCTGCGAAACTCTGCCATTGAGCGGTCCGCCTGGCCTYTTAGCAGAAGAATAAGAACCCCGRCCGTCGGCCCTCGCTCTCACTTCATATGTGTTATCCTTGYGCAGAGGCCATGCTATTCTCCTCTGTTTCGTTCCAATTTTAACGGATGTCCCGAGGGACTTAGGCTGGCCCGCGCCCCACGGTTACTCAGAGCCTGGTCGRCCCAGGYAAACCAGGATATCTGGTTTCACTCAWCAMTTCCATCATMTGAATTCGAACACAGGTCTKCATTCCAACAGCTCAGGRGTATACCCACTGAGCTAGGCTCTCGGGCGCCAKCCGCACCCCAGGGCAAAACGTSGCGCGGCTCCAGTCCGATCAMSAAAACAGTTTGTAATTGCACTTCAGGCAACCGCRTGAATACAACATACCCCCACACGCTCCTACCGCAGTCYCGCGTCCTCGGGACTCGACAGATAAACAGATAAGGGAGATAAAGATAAAATAGCAGCAGTGTCGAGGAATAACGGGGCTGCTGGCGCTTTGCCAGCTTCGCGGGTCGGGCCCGCCACCGCGCCCGCCAACAAAACCGAGGRGGATAGCCCTGGCGGCCCTCAACCCCATCGGTTCCTTTTCTCGACGCTCTGCCGCAGTTGCTGCGCCAACGCCCGCTGATCTCGATCCCCGAACCTCCGTAGTAGTAATCCGATGCCGTAACCTATAGGGCTAAACCCAAGCCTGGTGTCGGTAGGCTCGAATTTCTAGATAAAGCGGTAGCGCCTGGTGCTCCGGGCCCAGGAATCACCCTGGGCCACTCTTCGGCCTGCCCCTGCACGCAAGGTCGCCGAAAGCCGCCGTCGATGCCGTCGTCCGGTCAGACGTACCAATCAACAGAAAGTATCTCAAAATCGTGCTTAATCAAAAATAAATAAATATTAATAATATCATTAAACAGTACGACCGATGTCCGCGCCGGATTTATGATCAACAACAGAAAAGAATCACGCGCGCCTTAAACCTGCGCGCCCACGCACTCGCTATTGCGGTCAACCACCCAGTCAAAGCAATTACTGACGCAGCCGCGCTCAGCTAGGTATACTTAGACTCTAGACCAAAACTATTTTCTGTCACTTGCAAAAACCAGGGCGGATACCCTTGTAAGGGTATAAAAGGGTATCCGCACCGACACCGCTGCTTGGCTGACTCGAAAATGCCCAAGAAAAAGGTAGAGGAAGGGTGTCAATCAGAATTGCTCTGCGCACTGGACATCGTTCGTATTAGTAGGTGTGGGGTTAAGCGGGGAACCGGAGGTTTGACCACGGGAGGGAAGCTGAGGGAAGTTCGGAAGACTCTCTGAGTCTTCAAATACGGCGCGCGCGACAAAGTCCCTGCTAAAGTGAACTCACAGCGAGTGAGGCGGGTTCAGAAGACTCTCTGAGTCTTCAAATACGGCGCGCGCGACAGAGTTCCCGCTAAAGTGAACTCACAGCGAGTGAGGCGACCGTAGCAGTCACGGTGGTCATAGTCCAGACCGTGATTGCATGATTGGGATGCTGATGGGTACCTCCGTGGAAGTTCAATAAGCGGGCGGGGGATGTGCGATTGGGGGAGTTAATTGGGGAATAGGGAACTCTGATCGCGAAGATCTGAGGCAGGAATCAGCTTCCCTCTCAAGAGAGAACGATCAGAAACAGTGGTGAGGCCAGAGTACTGCGACGACGTGTGATCATTGGATAGGCAGCCGTACTGGGGGACTAAGGCAAAGCACATCTTCGCAGGTTGAAGTTGTGAACGGTTCTCTCCAGTCGAGCATGCTCCATCGTATCTCCAGAGGAAAAATTGCAGAGGTATTGAGACCAAGTGCTACAAGTACTTCACTCCCGTCCCACAACGAACTTGTTCCGCATCGCCAACTATTTTTAAATATTAATATTACCTTAATTATCGATAACTTTCGATTCTCGTATCGACAGTCAGGGTAAGCACGGTGCTGTCTGAGTTGCAAGGGTGGGGGAGCTGGTACCCAGAAAGTCGTGAGGCAAGGAGAGAAGCGTGGGGTGAAAATTGGGGAAGAAGAAGAAAAGAGAGAAGGGGGAGCAGAGGTAGTCGGGAGAAGAAAAGTGAGCAGAAGGAAGGGGGGGGCTATTTGGTCTTGCTTCTCATTCACTCTTACCATCGTACCCGTGAAACAATGCCTTGTATTGACTAGTGAACCTATCAACAACTGGGGAGCTTGGGATCGTCAGACTGTTTGTTTGTTTGTTTGTTTGTTTGTTTGTTTGTTTGTTTTCCCTGGGTTGCCCTTACTCAGGCCGACCAATCAAGGGCGACTACGAACTAGTGTTGAGCTGATCTGGAAACAGGACAAACGAAATCCGTGCACGTCGGCTCCGAAGCTCGGCCGCCGGGATAAAACTTGGGTTAGTGCTGTGTAGGGGAGAGCGCCCTCCGCGGATCTGGTTATTAAAGCATGTGACAGAGCGATTGTTTGACAAAAAAAAGGGAGGGAAGAGACTTCCTGGGGGTTGCCATAAACAATTCTATCGATCATTGGTTCATTCTAAGTTCAGTCTAGTGAATTGCTTGTCATTATTACTTGCACCTGGTCCCGAGCCGAGTTCTCGCAGTAGAGCATTCAAATGGGAAAGGTGTTTTGTGAGCGGGATAGAACGAGAAGAGCATGAGTGCTAGCCTGAAATGGGAAAGCGTTTTCCGAGTCTAAGCCAACTCTAATTCAGCTGTGGGATTATCGTCATTCACTGAAGCGTCTCGTTAAATCTGCCTAATCCTAAAAGAAGATTCGATCTAATCAAGCAAGCCAGCCATCCCGAGTGAAGGCTTGGGGGTAATGTCATGTTTCCAAGTCGGCGACATTCATACTAAGGCCGATCAGCGAAGTACGAATAAGCTCAAAACAAGGGTCGACTGCTGTTGCAGTCGCTCTCGAACAGTCGGTGCCCCGAAACGGCTTGTTTCGAGAAAACCCCTTTCTCCCGTTACTGAGTCCTAGTTGTAAAGCTATAAACTTATAAAAGACTGCACACAGACGATTTCAGTTTGATCTCGGGGCCGTTGGCCAACCCTGTGTAGCTTGCCCTGACACGGGTTTTTCACCATTCACGAGTTATCAGATCGGAGCTTTTCGCCCATCAAAGAAGGGCGGTGTGACAGGTACCCCATCACCCTGCCAGTCGCTGAGGACCTCGGAAGCGGGCGTGGCGAGTGACAGGCGTCGTTGCCCTTAGCTTCAGCGATCGGCAGGCGCCCCTCCCCGGGTTTCCTCACAATGGTACCAACGAACAAGGGTGTCCACAGTTCGATACCTCAAAAGCTTCCTCCTCCATGTTTGCTACAACAAAGAGACTAAACACCCCTTACAGATAGTCCTGCCACCATGGGTGAACACCAAGGGTCCAAAAATTCACACCCCACTTGATTGCGGCTCCTCCTTGATGTCTCTCAAGAGGAACTTCAAGCTCCCAACATACACAGGCGTAAATCCAAAACAACGTCTAATTACTGACCAATTATCTGCCCAGATATTTCGAGCAGTGAATCCCACATCTAGTTCCTTGACATTAGACAAAAGGGTCCCTCAGAAGATAGACAAGAGGCTATCTGACCAATCCGCACCCGGCCTTCTGAACTTTAGAATACAAAACCGAACCTGAACCACACCAATCCCTAGCCTAGACTTCCTACTAGGTCTAGAGGAAGATGATGATCTGCTCGTACGTACCTTCTTCTGATAATTCAAAGCAGGAGAAAAATTCTTAACGAGGACCTTTTCAGCAACTTCAACCGACATTACCCCATTCACCAGAGGAACCGCAATACAATGCCAGGCACCTCAAAAACGTAGGCAACGATAAAGTTTAGGTGAAAATCCTACGCCCTGCTGACGGACAGTACAAACATGCTCACCCCACCTAATATAGATCCCTCGAACTGAACAACCTATGTACTGCGCCCTGCACCATGGCGAGGATAAAGATAAACCACTGGTCCGGTCTGCCAATCGTTCCAGTTAACTGATAGCAAAAGGGATCGAAACTTAGCCACCCAGACAATTTCACCCAAAAGGACCAGAGCTATAAAACACAGCGTCAGACATGAGTCCCATAGGATGCGCAAACGAGGTGAAGCTCCAGTTGACCAAACGAGGCATCTAAGGCGCATACATTCCAACAGATGTTGCCATAACCGAAAACGAGAGTGATGAGCCAGTCACTTACAAGGAGTCTGATCCTCATCATCACTAACAGGAGATGGGGAAGGGGAGAAAACAAAACCCTTGTAAGCCAGCTTAGCCCTGGCTTCCACAATCTTTTCAATCGTCGGCGCCTTAGTTGTATAGGTCACCCCCTCCTGCGCACAGATGATCTTCAACTGGTCTTTGGTCTTGGGAGTAAAAAGGCGTCTTTGAGCCAACACATAAGCCAAAATACCTTCCGGGCCACTGCCCGCAGCAATCTTAGTTCGCCCTCTGTCTTCAGCCATGCATGAAGATTCGCCGCGGGTAGGGGCATCGTCCACTGCACCATCTCGATCAAAGACAGGCTGCCTGAAAGGTCGCCGAGCAGCACCTCCAACAAGTTCCTTCCCCTTCTGCTTCTTCTCGCGCAATTCATACAGCTTCGTGCTTTCATCCTCAATCTCTTCAATCCTTTTATCAGCATAGTCAGGAACTTCCTTCTCCTTAGGTACATTAACAGTTGCACGCGTATAAAGCGACCGAATCTCCTCCCTCCTCGCTTCATCCCTTGCTGCCGGATACTGTTGACCAATCTTAGACACGACTCTCGCCTCGATTGCCTCAGAGCTACGCTCAATCTCTTGCCTTATCATTTCATCCATCCTCCTTTTCTCCTCTACCTCTCTCCTCTTAGCCTGTTCCTCCTTCTTCTCATTAATCAAATGACGCAAGAATTCACGTTCTTCGGTATCCTCGGTCTGCCGCCTCGGGTACCAGAAACATGGTGTTGCAGGTGCGGCCGCTTGATTGGACGCCTGAACGTTCGGAGTACTCCGCGCGGAGGGACACTCTCTGGCAAAATGTCCCTTCCCACCGCAGTTGTATCATTCATTTCCGTTTGCCGCCATTCCTGACTAATTTGAGGTCAACTTGTATAAGCAGGTATAACCCGTATCAGACAGTTAGAACAAAAAGGAAGCGTAGAGACAGGAAATCAAGCAAAGAGGGAATCACAACCAAACAGGAACGCAAAACCTATGGCTAATCCTGCCAAGCCTTTACGCTGAAGGAATCCACATCACCATCGTCATACGTAACTATGATCATAATGAGGATATCACCATGAAACAATAGGGCCCACTACACAAAGAAACTATCAGAAATGGCACAATTAATCTAATCCTGCCGAAACACTACGCTAAAGACCTCCGCCACATCATCATGCACTACCACGATCCTAGTGAGGGTTTTCCCATCCTGAAGCAAAAGTGCACATCGCAACAGAACCCGCTCCATGACTACTACCTAATATCACGGATGGACGTGACCACCGTCCTAGTGTTCAATCACACTAGTGGTTGTCACGCAAATCTGGAAGGAGAAAAACTGCCCAGCAAGACAGCATCAGCATGAGAACAGAGCAATCATGATACACCAATAGATACAAGCTCCGTTGAGCAGGCAAGTTTAGACAATAGAAACCGATCAGCATTGAGAAATCAAACAGACACCAACCAAGCGGCCCGAACCCTCGACGCGTTTCGTCCGCCCCACACGCGGACTCATCAGGAGGCCAGATTACACAATGCTGGCAAACTACATGAGGCCATTCCCACGCCTTGCCCCTATACTATCCAATATCTGTTCTACACACTACTACTCCTACCCTAACCGGATGCGAAAGTGATACCATTGAGTGCACACAGGACATGTAGCACGACAACCGTGTAGCGAAGCACAAGACAACACAAGCAAGGCAACCACACTGCAAGGGACGACAAGGCGAGCGCCGAGCGGACCAGCAGCTCGGCAGCCGTGGAGTGAAGCACAGGGCACCAGCAACAAGGCAACCATCCAACAAGGCCCGCAAGCAGCAAACACGGACGGCACAACCAGCGGAAGGGCAGCAAGGCAGCGGAGCAGCGAAGCGCAGGGCAACACCAACAACACGGACAGACCACACAGCGAACACATCAACCTGCATGAAACCACATGTGAAGCAAGCGGGACAGGCAGCAGGGCAACGACGGAGCGCAGACGAGGCCATCCACACATCCAACACGGAGCAGACAAACATAAAACTCATTGTGTGTGTGTGTGTGTGTGTGTGTGTGTGTGTCTGTGTGTGTGTGTGTGTGTGTGTGTGTG